CAAGCACACCTGCCACAAAGCAAAAATAGGAAACTCTGACAATTCTTCACAGTTTATAGGCATACAGCACATCGCTCATTTTGTGTTGTATGAACTTAAATGTGTTTTTATAGGATTTGAGTAGTAGATGAACACAAAGCTGAGCATAATTGTAAGGCGAAAGAGAAATAATGCGTTTTTAAAAAATGTTTTCCACATAGAAAGGTGGAAAGGGGAGCATGCGTTTGTGAGCAGTGCTCACAAACGCTGCCAACACGACGTCCTCTAATCTGGAACAATCTTCCAGAAAACTGCAAAACGACTGAAACACTGACTTCCTTTAAGACTTAGGCTAAAAACCCACCTGCGTAGAGCTGACTTTGATTTTTAAAACGTGAATCTTTTTTTTTTTTTTTTTTTTCTAGTCTGGATTACATTTGTTATTTCACTGTATTTTGCCAGTGTAATGGGATGTTTCTTTGTTTGTTCGTTTTGTAAAGCACATTGAATTACCTCGGTTTATCGCATAAATTCACAATAAAACACACTGTATTTCTTGCTACTTTTAATAATGACTCATTTTTATTACCTTCTCGTACTTTTGCTCTGCATAATACCAACATACTGCACCCATACGTATCGACAAGGAACAATACTTTTAACTTTGATTTTCGTCCAACACTCACCTGTCTTCTTGACGATGTTCACTCCAAACCACCACGTGAACCATAGTGTGATGCACCTGGAAGCACATTTCCAGCACAACAGCATACAGTTATTGTCTCTGATTTTATTTTATTTTTTCCACTGTTCTATTGGTTGATGACAAAGTTTTATGGAACGTCAAAATCACACCTGCTTCTGCAGCATCCTCAGAGCTGCGTCCACTTCCTGAACTGTGGTTTGAATGTTTTCGACGGCCTACAACGCAAAGAAACACACACGTCTTTTATACACGCTATATCCAAAAGGGTAAAATAGATTATTTTTGTAGATTTGACACAAGAAGCCTCACATCTGTTGAACAGGCGCATGTTAAATCTACAGGGATGAACAACAGCACAATGCTCCAGTCAGTCTCCTCCTAAGACACAAAGCCAGTTGGGTTTGATTCAATACAAAGAAATTAAACGCTTAGAACGTATGCCAGCTTGCATGAATAGTCCGAATATACCTGTTTGGAAAGGTAAGAGGAAAGCTCTTCTGTCTCTTGTATTAAACTCCTGAAACACATTACCTCCACACATGAGGAATAGTACAATTTTTATATTCAAGCACTTGGATGGTTGATTTCTGCGTGTTACCCGTGGTGGAAGGAGATCTGACCCTCGTGCTGAGTGACCACTTTGGGATTAAACATGGAAAACAGCTCTGTACGAAGAGAGAGAACACATTGAAAAAAATGCTTGGTATGACAAAGCACTTTCAGCACATTGTAAGATTTTCGCAAACAGAGAAGTTTTATTCTTGTCGTCATGCTGTGTTCCTAATTATGTGGCTTGAAGGTCAGTGTTCTGTGTTTATGGCTGACTATAATATCCATACAGATAAGCTCAATTCACGGCATGGCTATTGATGCAATAGCTTTTTCTTTAAAGTGCATCCTAATCAGAACATTGATGAGATATGATCTGCTCTTGATGTGAACTTTCCGCCAACCTTGAAGGAAATACTTTCTAATACATAATCCAAAGCGTTGTTTTGATTGATCTTACCTCTCAGCCTCCTGACAACAGTGGAGGCTTCATTCCTGATAAGTAAAAAACAAAAACAAAAAAATGCATGGCATAAGAAGCTGCAAACATAATCAAAATTTCATCAAAATGCCTAAATCTTAATGAGACTCTGAGTCTATGTTCTCTAATTGTTTTTATGTCAAACAGAAAAGTTGTGATCAGTTGTCACAGTGTTGACTCATAAAGTCAAAATGTTATATGTGGCATTTGTTTATTGATCATTTTATTTTAATACATACACTAACGCAAAAATATAGCATAAAAGTTACAAATATTTTTCAAGGAACATTAATGTGCAGATCCTTGTACCTTCTTGTTGTTTTGCTCTTTATAGAGAAACACAAACACAACAAGCTGAAATTAGCTGCTTGCTAGCCTGCAGTCTACGGCTTGCTGTTTACAAATGGAGGTTTTAAAACCTCTTCACTCTAATAGAAGTATTGTGTGGACATTCACAGTGAAGTTTGCACACCATGACAGTGTGTGTAAGCTATTTACACACACATTAGTCATACAGTATAAGCTATTTACACACACTGTCATGGTGATTTATTTGCAACTACAAATCTCTCCAAACTACCAAATTTGTTTTTCTTGTACGTTAAAAGCCAGAGTGCATCCTACTTTCAGTCTACTGACCAGAAATGCACATCTACATTTCCTTTATCTTCATTTTAAAGCAAAGAAGGAACTTTTTGCTGCAACATTTATACCAGTCTCTAATTTGTTTTGTTTAAGAGGTTCATCAGCCATAACTATTTGGCATTTCTTGATGACAGTAACAGGCCCATGTATCTTTGAGGACTAAAGTAAGTGTCTGTCTGTGTGTTACTGCTGACTCAGCATGTACCTGTGGGACAGAGGCATTCCCAGTGTGTGAAGGGCTGCGATGTGAGCTGGTGTGAGAGTATGAACTGATGAGAAGGGAAAACAAAAATCAGAGATGTCACAATTTCATCGTGAGGCCCGAAGAGTCATGAATTCCTGAAGAAACAGATCTCTCATACAAGCAACAGTGCAACTTCCACGGTGAAGATTGCACTGCTTTACCTGATGGGGAAGATGACAGAGGGCCAGGCAGTGCTGTGCAAAGTACTGACATGAAACGCGCTGTCTGCAGCAGAGAAACACAATTGAATAGTTGAGCAATACATCAAATATAGGACATAGAAAATGATACATGCATCTTATAGAGAAAGATAAATTGCAATACCTCCTCTAATTCATGTTTTGCAGGTCCATTTTCTTGCAAATCGACACCAGCTCTAACTGCATGTGACAAAGGGCAAATATTATTACTTTATTGTAGGAAAACACCCCTTTGAATTTTTAATACACATTATCAAAAAACATAGACGACGTTAAATCCTCGTGTAGTTTTGTCATGACGCTCTTTTACATGCTGAACTTCCTTTGTGTACTAATGCTGGTAGAAGTCCTCAGATATTTATGTCTAAATAAGAGAGATGCTGTAAAATTACACCAAGCCACCAACGCTGCATGTTATGTAACAGTAAAACATTACAGGGGAAAAAACCTTGTAAACTTTTAACAATTATAAAAGTCAAAGTCAAGCAGAATCTAGGTGCTGAAGTACATCTGGAGCTCTTAAAGAGCAGATTGGCTATTTAGTTACCAGATCTCTGATCTCACAAGTTTTGGTAAACGCAAGAATCTATGCACAAATTGAATGTTCCACTTCATCAGGAAAACTTGGTTCTCTACCTGTGAATGTGTTGCAGAATCCAAGGACTGCCAGGATCAGGAGGGCAGCTGCGGCCATGATGCAGAGAGAGATGGCGTGCACACGGAGAACTGTTTGAGTCTCTTTTTTCCCCTCTCCTGCTCAGATTCAGATGAAGAATGACTGTGAGCTTTCATTCACTGTAAATGTACACCCCACCTGCGGAGGGTGTGGAGATGACGACGGCTCCCAAGAGGGCGAGGTTTTGAACAACAAGGAAAAGATGGGGAGATAAAACTTGACAATTTGAAAGCTAGAATAAATGTAATATTGCCGTTTTGCTTATCGCAGTGATGTTGATTCCTGCACAGACTTTGTGCGTTAGAATAAAGTTAGGTTGAAGACCTTACAGTTGAAATAAAACATTGATCTTAAACAACTGAACGATATGTAGAGCTGTGTTAAATTGATTTCATTCTTTTAATTTTCCACATTATAAGCACAAACTTTATTTGGATTTTATTTGGCAGATCTAAACAGAATAACATGTGAAATAAAAAGAGAAGGACTAAGTGTGGGGCCCATTTATATGCAGCCTCCTTTTTTCTGATACCTCTAGATAAAATCCAGTGCAGCCATATGCCTTCAGAAGTCAACTTTTAATTTGTGCTGATACTGCATCTCTTCCGCCTTGGATTTGTAATCATATAAAATCAAATGGGGCTTAATTTTGGAAAAGTTTCGAGATGCGATTAGATTACAGTAAACTTTATGAGGTTTGCCCTTAGATGGACTTTTGATTATTGCTCTACTATCACGAGAGTCTCATTGAAGAGAAAACATGCCTGCTGTATTATGATGTGTTGCAATCAGACCTAAATTGCTAAAAACAGATATGCAAAAGACAAGGACTATTAACATACACAACTCAAATGGAAAACCTTTCAATGTGATTTTTGATTATGAAATGTGTTCGATAGGGTTCTGCAACAATCAAATTGTAAGTTAGTTTAATAATTACAGGACGACATAGCAGAACTAAGCAATCAGTTGGAAAAAAAATACATTTTTATTTACCTGCTATCTGTTTGATAAAAAATATAAAGTTAGTCATGTAACTTTATGCGCCAAAGAATAATGTATTCTGTCATGTAGTTAATTTAATTGTTGGTGTTAAACGCGAGACAGATAATATTAGTGCTTCATTGGTAAATTAGCTGAAATAAGGGCTTCTTTGAAGCCTCTGTGATATTGCTTTGACCTCTGAGTTATTATGATACATTTTTGTATTTAACTCTGAGGCCTGTAATCGTTTTGCTTCTGCGTCTTAATTTCCTTGTGGTTGGATTTCTTGCGACGCCTGGCGGCGGATAGAAGTAACAACATGTTGGTGCGGCAGCAGCCGTCGCTTGGTCCTAACCGGATGTTGATACTGGCTGAAAGCGGAACGCAGACAGGAACAGCTGAAAAAGAAAAACAAAGCCACGACGACGACGACAGAAACAAAACACTTGCGCACACAATATAGTGTAAATATTGATGACATTATCGCGGGACGAACATTTCAGTGCCATTCAAACCAGATTTTGAAAGGTAGGAATCTGTTATACTGAGCGAAGCTGAAATATTCGTTTGTTGTTGTTTTTTCTGCTCCTAGCCTGTTGTCGCTGTTAGCTGAGCGGTTAGCCTGGTGTTTGCTTCCACTGACTTTCTCACCGACTAAAATGTTTTGGTGTGCTACGAGGCGTGAAATCTCACTGGAAAACGAGTAACGCGTTTATCTTCTGTAAGTTCGTCGAAATGTCTTCTTTTGAACAGCAGCGCTCATTCAAGAGGCTTTATTTTAGGCATTTTAACAAGAACGTGTAATGCCTGAACTGTTATTTGCGGCCAACCTTATTCATGTCGAGTTTATCAGGAACATAGAGCTCAGCTTAAGGAAATGGTAACGCAACAGAACACACACACAACAAAAGAAAATAGCTCACCTTTAAAATATATTTATAGTTGGTATTTAGAAGTAGGACATTTTCAGCTTTAAATTAAATAATCTTTAAAAATGGGACTTGACACCAAAGAAATGTCAAGTGTCCGAAAATATTAATTACATGCGCAGTTAATAAAGAAAATATGGCTTGAAATGGTATCCATTTACTGCAAAAACACAAGTTGCCACTGTAGTAATAGCAGGTTATGTAGCATCATTTGCACATTATCCAGTGAGGGATTTCACAGATAATAGTGGAGAAAGATAAGAGAATATTTCTAGAGAAAACCGTAAAATAACGAGATCAGCTTTCAGTGGATTGCTAATAACACTGTTAGGTTGCCTTTTTAAAAAAAAATAATAAACCATGTTTTAGGGATTTTTCCACATAGAATCCTAAACAGGTCAACCTTAAATATTTCCTATTATATGCATTTTATTGTTAGTGCTATTTTTATCTGGAATTTAAGGTAAATTCCAGATAAGTAGAGTATGGTTAATACTATTAACTATACCTAGAGCATAGTGTATTAAAAAAAATAGCAAAATATGTCCCAATTTTCAGTTATTATGGATTCATTTGCTTCACACCAGTTGATCTCCTGGAAGATACTTATTTATGATAAATCACGTAGACTAATGACAGTTAAAAAGGGTCAAAGCTGTCATCATTTATTGTATTTGCACATTATTTCCTGTATATTTTGTCTTGTGCTCTATTTCTGGTGATTGTATTATGACTCAGAAAATGGGACGCATCTTCCTGGATCATATTGGCGGGACGCGCCTCTTCTCTTGCGCCAACTGCGACACCATCCTGACGAATCGGTCCGAACTCATCTCCACACGCTTCACAGGAGCCACAGGCAGAGCTTTCCTCTTCAACAAGGTTCGTACACATACAGCTCCAGAGGTTTACATTTTGTTAGCAGTATGGATTCCTGATTAATTTGGGAGCTTTTAATGGTTTATTTGAACTGCTCTTTGTGCAGATTGTGCTCATAATATAAATACATCTTCATTGATTTCATTAAAAAAAAGATTAGGTGCAGAAGTTTGAATGTATATTGTATTTTCTGTCATTTCTAGGCTCAAAGTTATACATATATACATACATGCTAATGCTTTGTTAAATGTTCCTTACCGAGTTTTAGCAAAACAATACACAGTTTTTTAAACTTCTGGACAATTCTGGTAGAATATTTGACTTGTCCTCTCAGAAATAGGAGTACTCATTCAAATTTGTTGAATTTGTGGCAGACCTTAAAGCATAGTCAACATTTTATTCAATAGGGAGGAGGTTAGAGCCATTTGAGAAGCTCAAAACCAGTTTAATGTGTGTTTGTAATTCTTAACTGGTTGGAAAACCCAATTGAACCCAAATTTAAACTATTTCACCTAAACTATTAATCTTGTATGAAAGAAAATTAGGTAGAGTGATCAGAAACAATCAAGGAAGCATTAAAACTCAACTCTATCCAAAACTGTAATATACTGAGAGTACCATTTTTTAACATCAACAGGTACTGAGAAAAGAACAGCTTTAAAGCAGAAAAAAAAAATCTTTCAAGCTTGCGTGAACTTTACAGATGCACACACAGACCAGCCGAAGGCAGACCTAGGAAAATAAATCTTTCTTTTCTTTCTTTTTTTTTTTTTTTTTTTTTTTTTTTTTTTAAAAAAAAAAAAATTTTTGGAAAATATTTGGGGGGGGGAAAAGAACCCCCCCAAACCAAAACC